CCCCGTTTTTGCCCCCGTTTCCCCGTCTCTCCCTGACCGTGGCCGCACTTCCCGCATCGAACCAGGGAGTTTTCGGGATTTCGGGAATTCCCGGCGCAGACGCAGCACGAGGGCTCGTCCCCGGGCACGGCGGCTGCGGAGCCCGGAATTAACGCTAATTAACCGCTAATCGACCGCTAATTAACCGCTAATCGACGGCCGATCGACCGCTAATCGACCGCTAATCGACCGCTAATCGACCGCTAATTAACCGCTAATTGACTGCTAATCGACTGCTAGTTGACCGCTAATCGACCGCTAATCGACTGCTAATCGACTGCTAATCGACTGCTAATCGACCGCTAATCGACCGCTAATTGACCACTAACGAACCGCTAATCGACCGTAAATCAACTGCTAATCGACCGCTAATCGACCGCTAATCGACCGCCAATCAACCGCTAATGAACTGCTAATCAACTGCTAATCGACCGCTAATCGACCGCGAATCAACTGCTAATCGACTGCTAATTTACCGCTAATCGACCAATAATCAACCGTTAATCAACCGCTAATGAAGCACTAATTAACAGCTAATTAACCGCTAACGGACCGCTAATCAACTGCTAATCGACCACTAATTAACCGCTAATTAATGGCTAATCAACCGCAAATCAACCGCTAATTAACAGCTGATTATCCGCTAATTAACCGCTAATTAACCGCTAATCAACTGCTAATCAGTCGCTAATCAATCGCTAATCAACCGCTAATCAACCACTAATCAACTGCATATCAACCGCTAATTAACCGCGAATTAATGGCTACTCAACCGCTAATTAACCGCGAATGAACCGCTAATTAACCGCTAATCAACCGCTAATCAACTGCTAATCAACTGCTAATCAACTGCTAATTAACGGTTAATCAACCGCTAATTAACGGCTAATTAACGGCTAATCGACTGCTAATTAACCGCTAATCAACCGCTAATCAACCGCTAATCAACACACCGATAACGGCTAATTAACGGGTAATTAAGGGCGGGGTTAATTGGGAACTGCGCCTCACCGGGGCTGATGTCTTTCCAGAGAACGAAGAACTGGGAATTGTCCTCGAACTGGATCAGGCAGCCCCGGCGGGGAGAGTCCACCTGCGGGAACGAACAAACGAACGCCGGGAATGAACGAACGAACACCGAGAATGAACGAACGAACGCCGGGAATGAACGCCGGGAATGAACGCCGGGAATGAACGCCGGGAATGAACGCCGGGAATGAACGCCGGGAATGAACGCCGGGAATGAACGCCGGGAATGAACGCCGGGAATGAACGCCGGGAATGAACGCCGGGAATGAACGCCGGGAATGAACGCCGGGAATGAACGCCGGGAATGAACGCCGGGAATGAACGCCGGGAATGAACGCCGGGAATGAACGCCGGGAATGAACGCCGGGAATGAACGCCGGGAATGAACGCCGGGAATGAACGCCGGGAATGAACGCCGGGAATGAACGCCGGGAATGAACGCCGGGAATGAACGCCGGGAATGAACGCCGGGAATGAACGCCGGGAATGAACGCCGGGAATGAACGCCGGGAATGAACGCCGGGAATGAACGCCGGGAATGAACGCCGGGAATGAACGCCGGGAATGAACGCCGGGAATGAACGCCGGGAATGAACGCCGGGAATGAACGCCGGGAATGAACGCCGGGAATGAACGCCGGGAATGAACGCCGGGAATGAACGCCGGGAATGAACGCCGGGAATGAACGCCGGGAATGAACGCCGGGAATGAACGCCGGGAATGAACGCCGGGAATGAACGCCGGGAATGAACGCCGGGAATGAACGCCGGGAATGAACGCCGGGAATGAACGCCGGGAATGAACGCCGGGAATGAACGCCGGGAATGAACGCCGGGAATGAACGCCGGGAATGAACGCCGGGAATGAACGCCGGGAATGAACGCCGGGAATGAACGCCGGGAATGAACGCCGGGAATGAACGCCGGGAATGAACGCCGGGAATGAACGCCGGGAATGAACGCCGGGAATGAACGCCGGGAATGAACGCCGGGAATGAACGCCGGGAATGAACGCCGGGAATGAACGCCGGGAATGAACGCCGGGAATGAACGCCGGGAATGAACGCCGGGAATGAACGCCGGGAATGAACGCCGGGAATGAACGCCGGGAATGAACGCCGGGAATGAACGCCGGGAATGAACGCCGGGAATGAACGCCGGGAATGAACGCCGGGAATGAACGCCGGGAATGAACGCCGGGAATGAACGCCGGGAATGAACGCCGGGAATGAACGCCGGGAATGAACGCCGGGAATGAACGCCGGGAATGAACGCCGGGAATGAACGCCGGGAATGAACGCCGGGAATGAACGCCGGGAATGAACGCCGGGAATGAACGCCAGGAATGAATGAACGCCAGGAATGAATGAACGCCGGGAATGAACGCCGGGAATGAACGCCGGGAATGCCGGGGGGATTTTGGGAGAATTTCGGAGGAATTTTGGGAATTCCAGGGGAATTTTGCGGATTCCAGGGGAATTTCGGGAAATTTGGGTGAATTTCAGGGGAATTTTGGGAATTCCAGGGGAATTTTGGGAATTCCGGGAGAATGTGGGGGCATTCTGGGGGAATTCTGGGGGAATTCTGGGGGGATTTTTGGGGCATTTTGGGGGAATTTTGGGAATTCCAGGGAGATTCTGGGGGAATTTCAGGGGGATTTCAGGAATTCCGGGAGTGCCGGGGGGATTCCGGGGAAATTTCACAAATTTCGGGAATTCTGAGGGAATTCCGGGAATTTTGGTGGAATTTTGGGGGAATTTGGGGGAATTTCACGGGAATTTTGGGAATTCCGGGCGGATTCCAGGGGAATTTCACAAGTTTTGGGAATTCCGGGGGCATTTTGAGGGAATTCCGGGGGGATTTTTGGGGAATTCTGGGGGGATTTTGGGAGAATTTCGGAGGAATTTTGGGAATTCCGGGGGAATTTCAGGGGAATTTTGGGAATTCCAGACAGATTCCGGGGAATTTCAGGGGAATTTCGGGAATTCCGGGAATGCCGGGGGAATTCCGGGGGAAATTTGGGGAGTTTGGGGCAGTTTTCGGGGTGGTTTGGGGAGTTTGGGGCAATTTTGGGGCAGTTTAGGGTGGTTTGGGGCCGTTTTTGGGGAATTTGGGGTGTTTTGGGGCAGTTTTGGGGAATTTGGGGTGTTTTGGGGCAGTTTTGGGGAATTTGGGGTGTTTTGGGGCAGCTTTGGGGAGTTCGGGGCATTTGGGGCCGTTTTTGGGGTGATTTAGGGAGTTTGGGGCAGTTTCTCGGGAGTTTGGGGACGTTTTTGGGGTAGTTTTGGGAAGTTTGGGGCAGGTTTTGGGATGTTCTGGAAAGTTTGGGGACGTTTTTGGGGTGTTTTGGGGAGTTTGGGGCAGTTTTGGGGGTGGTTTGGGGTGGTTTGGGGCAGTTTCAGGACTGGATTTGGG